ACTATCGTTGGGGTACAATATTTGAATGAACCAGTACCATCTGATCCTATTTATTTGTCGCATCATCATTCATGTTTGAAATATAGATAAAACAATCTTATTTCTGAACTGCATTTCATTTACGGACTACAAGTTATGTCTATTAATTCTTTAAATCTGTGACAAGTGATTCATAAAAATACCAATATCATTATGCGTAAAGAAATATAAAGTGCGTTGAACTAGTATTATCAGTTTATTAGTCTGCTACATGTTTGTAAAAGATTGTATTGTATTGTCATTCCTTTGAAATTTATTTTACATTTACAGTTCATTCATCGAAAATTCCTCTAATCTTGTTTGCTTTTTTTAGACTACTCGTAAGTAGCTTATATCGTCATTATGAATTTTATCGATGGATGTTGATTATAAGATATTTGGGAGGTGTCGAAGTTCACCCCTAATGATGTCATCAATGAACTTGAACTTTCAGTCATATTTAATTCTGTTCGCATGGAAGCCATTACTGGATGTTCAGAATTATATAAATTCCCGAAAATTGATGTGGAGACTTGTGAGGGCGTGTAACAAACACAGTTTTAAATGTAATTTAGAACTTAATATATTGCATTTAAGACTGATTTGTTTGACCATTGATATAAAGCCGTTTTTTGTTTCTCTTTACTTTGATACTGTTTTTGGATGAATTTATTAGGTTTCTATCGAAATTCATTTTGTTATGAACTATTGCTCTTTGATAAGACGTATCATAGTGATCTAACTCAACTACTCATCATTCTTCAAATCGACAGCTTAAAGTGCAAATTTCACAAGAATCGAAACTATAAATACAGTGAATAAGAGGACTAACAACACGTCAAAGATGTAAGCATTAGTTATACAAAAGTTAATAAATTATTTTAACAAACACTGGATGGTATCAATGCAAAAGTGCTAAACTATAGAGTAAAACATTATAATCATTATTTTATCTGGCTTCTGCCTATCGTAATAGAAGTGAGGTTTTTCTTGCTGTTATGACTTCATAATAAAGATGACCAGAATAGAGTAGTTTGACTAAAATGACACAAACCTAGGTAGATGAAAATACACATTTATAGCACAAGTATACTTTCAAAATTATCTCGTAAAGCATTATCCATAAGGTTTTAACAGACGAATAGACTTGAGACAGAGCAAATAGGCTTTTGCATGGTTTATGTCTAAAATGTTTGTAATACAGCAACAATAGTCTTCGTTAGTTTAAGACCCTTCTATATCAAAATTCGCCATGTATGGACTTGTAGTGGAACACTTCAGCGAAGAAAATACGATTTTTGAAAAATAAACATTATTGTACTCGTTTTGTTTAACTGTACGAAAAACACTTCTTCCACTTCTTGCATGTAACGTTATCTTCGCGTTGCTGCCATTTTTCTCTATTTGCTGTTTCAGATGTAATGCCTAATTTCTCCTTCAATAAAACCTTGGAACATGGATTTGTTTTGATATGAATGACGGGACCGTATGGAACATTTAGTGGTGAGCATAGTCAATCTGGTGTCTTGACTCACTCACTTGTGAAGCAAATTCTGCCAAAATTTCCGATCGTTTAATGAGTTATTACTTTATCGTAGTGACAATCGACAAGAACTGTTTTATACCTAGGTAATTTCATACAGAATAACTATTAATTACAGTATATCGACTCGTTCAAGCCAGAGCTTAGTTCTAAGTTGCTTGATAAATTCGTTTGTTTGATCCAGCAGCTTTTTGTTTAGAAATGTCTAGCAAGTCTCGTCCTAAAGCAAGCGAGACTGGAAGGACAGCACTACTGGAGATATGGCACCGATATTGTTCATTAGGATACTTTGTTCACAATCCAATAGCTTTGGAGATGAATAATAATATGAATTTTAACTTTAAGTACGTACTTAAAAACAGTTTTAGTGGGATTGAGAACTCCGAACCGTACAATATGGTTTTTTTCATAATACTCGCCAATTCTATGTTAATCGTAGTGAAAAAAGTACTATCACAGAATTTGTAATCAACTATTTTTCATTTGATAATTGAACAGTTATCTGTTCCAATCTCAGTTAAGTCTAGTGTTTATCCTATTTACTATGAAATATATTATGTTTGACAGTTTACCTATATGACTGCTAAGAGAGAGGGACAAAACTTCACTGAGGATATTATTAAGTGCCTTATTATAGTCATTTTACGGAAAAAAGGAGATTGGTTAGATAGTAACATTAAAACCAATTTTACCTGTGCATGTTTTACCTGACATTTTGTTTATCCATACTTTTGTATCACACTTTCCTTCTGCGCGGTCGCCATCTTACTTTTGCTGCTCTATACCTTTCACTTGTTTTCTCTGGCATGATTTCGGTATTCTTTCGGTACCTCGAAATCGCCAGCAATTTTACTTATTTCATCTGGACAATCCCAGCTTCTCTTTAATTAATTCGTGACAGGATTACGCTCAATAGAAGAAATTGGTTAAAGGTTGCTAAGTTGATGCACCTCATAATGGTCGTTCACAGTCATATTATTAAGGACTTCTTAGTGTCTTGATTTTGCTGTCTTATAACTTTTCCAATATTTCTAATTTTATCGAAATGATTAAGTTCAAACGATAATACATTAGAGTTACACAACAGCAAACGATAGTGAACAAGTAGTGAAAATTTTATTCAAACTACTCGCTGAGGAAGTATTTCACACAGATTGATCAGTTCCCAAAACCAATAGTTTATTCAAAAATTCTTTCTAGGAATCTACCTTTCATTGAACATTCAATGTTTGCTCCCTCTAGTTTTTTTGTTTGTGAATAATGTCGACCTATCAGAGATAAACAGTAGTTTGATGACACTAATGTAGACCTCTTCATATTTTCTTGTGACGTAAGTATATACGAGAGTTACAAATCTCAGAAGAATTCAGATGAACAGGATAGACTTGGGTGGTTAGTTGTCTATTAGTTGGATAATCCCACTACGCCTTGAGCACGTACTTACATGATTCAACCATTCCTGAGTTTCATACTAGGGTGAAATGGCAATGCCCTGCTTCCATATTTCCAGTGGTGGTTTGGACTGGAACGATTCATGATTTCAATCAGCAAAATGATTCGACCTCAACAAATCCTATTTATGCATAATAATGCTTCACCATTCCCGTCAAATACTCAACATATATATACATTGTATATATAAGGCACAAGTGAACCACTATCTGAGTTGCAACATCCGTTATCTTTTTCACGAACTAGCACAAACTGACTGATACCTTTGCGCACAATTCTTGTTCTTTCTGTACGGTTCCAGGTGTGTGGTAGTTCCCAATGGATGGTAGTCTGATCACTAGCCTGCACCAGTCTTAGCCATTTCACAGTTATGAACTTCCGTCCACTTAATAGTAGTTTAAGTAACTCTGCTTTATGTATGAATTTACTCACCTACGTTTCTTACTCTATTATCTATAGCCTACCGAATTAGCAGAACGCTTGACAGATAATTTTAAAAGAGCAGTGGTAAAAATTAGTGGGGGGTGTGAGGATCTCGGGGCAAATACTCACTGGATTCTTAACATCACAATCAACTAATCCCAATCTTGCTTCCATAAAAGAGAAGCTGTCGACAGATATCATATCTGAAAAAAGTGTCCTGATGATTCTTGACTTTTTGCTGATTTCCAAGATAACGAATACGCGTGTGTATGATAGGCGTTTTACCAGTTTCACTGTAAGGTGAATTTGTTTTTCAAGTGACGTCACTGCAAAATTCCATAGTTACCAAAGATTACCAAGAGCTAGTTGGACGTTTTGTTTAGAAGGTGGAAAGCACCCCTAAAATTCAAAAATTGAAGAGACAATGAACACACTGTAAGAGCTCAGTATCATGCCTAATTACAGGTATCTTTTAAATGAAGACCAAAAAATATAGTTAGGTAGGAAAGATGCGAGGTAAGAGGTGAATATAAAGTCTCAGAGAAGATGCAACACCTACCTACGTCAACATTTACAGCGAGTTATAGAGGGATCCAAGATGGAAGTGACACTATTTACGGTGAGGGAAGCGTCAGGTACAACGAAGTTCTTGAGTAAGAGCTTAAACAGCTAAGAAAAGAGTTAAATTTTCCCATATAGTTGGAATCATTTTGGCTCCCCCTAAAAGTACCTGTAAAAAGGAGGATTAGGAGTCACGTTTCAAGTGAACATCAACATATTTCGCCATTTATTTCAGAATATGTTTATTAGCTACTGGCTGACCGAAGTCATCTTTAAATATATAAGTTCGTTTTGTATACGTATAAACGCATTTGATAATTAGTTTGTCTTAACCTCACCCTCCCGTTCTATCGGATTGTTATCAATTGCATTCGTTAATTATTCCAAGTGAATTCTGTGTGCCTAGTGAGTTGTCGGTTCACTTTTTTTCCATCCATATAATCTTAAAACCTGTTTCTCCCGCTCACTAAGTACACGAGGTACTTCCAAACTGAACTCAACCGTACAGAATACAAAAAGTTAGGTGCTTAAATCAACTTCCCAGTAATACTCATGTCTTTGCTTCGCTCCCCTTCCCTACTAGCCAGGTTTACGTGTAAGAGAAGTTATATAGTAAGGAAAGTGCTTGAGAGTTCATTTTAAGTGTCTGAACAGCAAACAGATCATATATCAGCAGTAAATTTCCATACAGATTAATAACATGTTTTCGAAAACTGCTGCTTCTGAACTACAAACTTTCAAAACCTTGGCGGATATGACACTAACTCTGAATTCTGCAAAAACATGAAGTATTCAGTCTATGACTTTTTTCAGATTGCATACGAATCCTAAATAATTTTCTTCTGAGATGCTTCATAACTAAAATTACCTGTCTTTTTTTATCAAATTTCATAATCATATGCTAACTGTGCTTTCATACCTCTACCTTTACCCTAAAGAACAAGCAATCCAACGCAATCGGTTATGAAAATCCGATTAGCGAAAACTTCATAAATTGCATATTCAACTATCAAACTATTGAAACCACTATTCAGTCGACCAGACACTTTTGAACAGGTTCGCTACTATTTGGTTTTTGGATATTTAATACATCTGTTATCAGAGTTCACTTGTATTGTTTTCAAATTTTAACAATCTGATTTAAATTTTTTGTGTCTGACACGAAATTTATTATGCCGTTTTCTCAGGACTAATCAAAAAAGACTAACAGACGTACACTGTTTCAAACATCTTAAGAACTAATAACATAGAAACTATTTGTAATTAGAAACACCTGTGTTTATACATTTGTTATTATGACTACGCTAGTAAACTCAGCAACAAACCTACCCAGTTAGTTTGAGGATAATCTCATCATATTCGTAATTCGTATTATTAGGTAATCCCGACTTCAGTCGCAGGGAAGCCCTATTAGAAATTCTGGGTATAGTGCAGCTTTAAACACCAAACTTTTCCCTGATCTAGAGCCTTTTCATGAAAATTTAACTTTTTCTGGGGAATACTCAAGACGTCGTGGAGAAAGGTCGTATTCCTGAACCTTGAGGTGACATTTGACTCTGGCGATCGTGAGCTCTATGGCAGTGTCTGTCGTTGAACGAAGTGCCAAAGAAGTACATTAACATTATAAAAGCTCTCTACTCGGGCACTACTGGTCGATTCAGAGGTTATGACGACATACTATCGGGATTCTCTAGTTCAAGTGGCATGTCCACTTCTACATTCTTGTTTAATTTTGTCACAGACATGCTTTTAAAGACGCTAATCTCATCGTCTGACTTCTCAGAAGTTGGCCTTCTATCAGACAACTCGCTTGTTGACGTAGAATATGCCGACGACATAGTTCCAGTTGCTGAAGATACTGACAAAATGCAGTCTTCTGACCACCTTAAGCAACAATGTAATCATGTTCGGGATGCGGTCCTCCCCGTCAAAATGCAAAATGTTGCTTCGAAATTGGCTTGCATAGGCACATGAACTAGTGATACGTAGTGTAGTAGTTGAGCGTGTTGACCGCTTCAATCAACAGCAACAATTCAAGTTGCAATACCACATTAGCACATAGATGCAATTGTCAGTTCAAATCCCATAGTAGTAGAGGTAGTGAAAGTGTTAGCAGTAATTGGAGAGATCAGGGTTTGAAGATATTACTCAAGAAGTAAAATCTAGTGAGATAAACTTAAAAGAAAAGATAAAGGTGATGAGGAATTCAGAACGTTATGATTTGAGAGAACACAAAGAGTGAATGCACCTGCGCCACTGCAAACGGTTCTGAGCCATGGCATTCAGGTCTCTAACCATCGACTATTACCATCTGGTGGACCCAAGAGAGGTAGTCGACATGACTCAGTCTAATGGTCAGACCGACACTAATCCACCTTCCCTTTTAGGTCTCTCAAGAAACACCCACTGTGTGGGCATCCGGGAAGTTACATCCTCCCTCAAACCCGTAACAGCACATGAGACCAAATTGGTCAAAATCTAATCCTTCCTACAACCCCTAACATTGCTATTATCTCCACGACTAAATCTACTCCCATTCCTTTATCACCCCGTACCGCTATTGCAAACGATGCGAGTTCACAAAAAGTTATTCCTGTTCTACTGAAACCCTTTCTAGACTAAATATTCGAGCTTTTAATGTACGGACATTGTGTCAAATAGGACAGCAGGCTTCCCTAGCTAGGACTTTAGAATCTTGTGCCATCGATGTATGCCTAACCTCTGACTGCCTCGACGAGCTATGTTATCTTGTGTAGTAGGTTGGAAGAAAGCTCGGGGTAGCCAAACCAAAACATGGCAGAATTCCATGAAATCACTGACAAGTGGACTAAGTCATGTTGGTAGATGTAGGTTACCTGGTTGGGGTCCGCGAGACGTAAGTCATCGACGTTTAGAGACCTTGAATGACATGGCTCGCAATCGTTTGCAATGGCGCAGGTGCATCCACTCTTTGTGTTCTCTCAAATTCAAACCTGAATTCCTCATCATCTCTGTCTTTCTCTTACTAAATTTATCTCAAGAATCATATCTTCACTCCCTAATCTTCTCCATTACTGCTAATAGTTCTACTATCCCTACCACTATTGGATTTAAACTGACAGTTGCGTTTCTGTGCTAATGTGGTATGGCAACCTGAAATGATGTACGTATGTACGAAGTTCTGCTCTGTATCTGTCTGTCTGATGTATGCTGCGTCTCCAAAACGCGCATACAGGATTCGAGTGGTGTCATTCATTTGACCTCACCATGTCAACATAGAGAAGCAACTCGATTAACTGTGCGTGTATCTGGAAGCCCTGCTGCTACTTCTCGTGGTCTCGCTGGTGTAAGTATAGCAATGTGTCGTACGGTAGAACTAGCGCTTCTATACTGGATCTCAGTAGATAGTCGCTTGTGGGCTGTCCTACTAAACGGGACATTAAAGACTCGGAAAGATAGGGACACTTGCCGTAGCCTATTCGTCATATCTGCCTACGCACCACTGACTGCAGCTCAGACGAGGTTAAAGATGAGTTTTACAGAAACCTTTCGAACCTCCAAAAAGTTGGGCGCTTTGATGTAGTTATGGTAGCTGGGGACCTCAATGCTCAAGTACGTAGATCAAGTGAAAAAGAAAGACACGGGTGGATCTTATGGTGTTGTGGCTCAAAGAACAGATAATGGCGACCGTCTGTTGTAACTGTGCTCAGATAACCGCCTATTTCTAGCAAACACCATCACTAAGCATAAGGAAAAACATCTTTTGACCTAGCGACCCCCAGATTCGTCAAAACGCTGGACCCAACAAGATCATATCGCTATCAGTCACCGACCGAGGGGTTCGATAGAGGACTGTCGCTCGTTCTGAAACAGTTGTTTAGACTCAGACCATGCTCTAGTGCGAGCGCGTATTTGTTTGCGTCTCACTGGACGTAACCCGACCGTAGCTGCTACCTCGGCGTGGTGGTCGGGCTTGCCTGTCGTGATGACCCAACCGAGCTATACTTGCTGGAACATATGTTCCTGCAGGTTCTACCATGCCAGGCTGGTCGATTGGAAAACGGTGAGACTAAAAGCAGCTACCCAAGGTCTGAGGGCGAAGTCGTACTGCTGACTGCAGACGGGTGTGACAGCAGTAAGGTGTTTCCCTCGGACAACCAGCATCTGCAGCGATGCTGCCTTCTCACAAGGAAAGAAGGGTTAGAAAAGGTCGGCCCTAAAAATGTCACACCTCCCCTAACTCACGGATTTCCGTCTCCTTGGGTAAGGGTGCCCACTAAGGGCCTTTAAGAACGGAGCTAATCCTCAAAATACCTATCATAAAAAGGCCGTGCGTGACCGGCCTCAAGCCGTTGTCCCTTGGGCTCTGCGGTCACGCTCCCAGGTCTCCAAGACCAACACTAGTCTATCTTCCTTTTCAGGTCCCTCAAGAAACAACCTTCCACGGTGTGGGTAGCCGGGAAGTGACAACCGCCCTCATACCCATAACAACACGAGAGACCAAGTTGGTCGAAATCAAATCCTTCCTACACCCACACATACCCCTCGTCTCTCCACAACTAACTCTACTCACATTCCCTTATCTGACTGCACCGCTAATGCAAACGATGCGAGTTCACAAAACGTCATTCCTGGTCTCTTGAAACCTCGTTCTAGTCTACGTGTTGGGGCTTTTGATGTACGAACTTTGGGTCAAATAGGGCAACAGGCATCATTAGCTAGGACTTTAGAATCTCGTGCCATCTATGTATGCTGCGTCTCGGAAACGCACATACAGGATCCTAGTAAAATTATTAATCTGATTTCACCTTGTCAAAATAAAGAAGCAGCTCTATTTACTCTTCGTGTATCTGGAAGCCCTGACGCTGCTTCCAGGTGTCTTGCTGGCGTAGGCATAGCATTGAGTCGTAGAGCTGAACAATCTCTCCTTGACTGGATCCCAGTAAATAGTCGCTTGTGCGCTGTCCGACTAAACGGGACAGTAAGGTTCGGAAAGATAGGGACAATCGCCGTTGCCTCTTCATCGTATCTGCCGATGCCCCCACTGACTGCAGTTCAGACGATGTGAAAGATGAGTTTTACAGAAAGCTTTCGGACCTCCTCCAAAAAGCTAGGCGCTCTGATATAGTAATAATGGCTGGTGACTTTAATGCTCAAGTAGGTAGACTAGGTGAAAAGGAAAGACATCTAGGTGGATGTTATGGTGTAGCGACTGAGAGAACAGACAATGGCGACCGTCTGTTGCAACTGTGCTCTGATAACCAACTATTTCTAGCAAACACCAATTTTAAGCATAAGGAAAAGCATCTGTTGACCTGGCGACCTCCAAAGTCGTCTCAACGTTGGACGCAACTAGATCACATCGCCATCAGCCACCGATGGAGGGGTTCGATAGAGGACTGTCGCTCGTTCTGGGGCACATGTTTGGGTTCAGATCATGCCCTAGTGCGAGCGCGTATTTGTTTGAAGCTTACTGGGCGTAGGAAAGACACCGTAAGGAAGCCTCTTAGAGTTTTACTTAATGATAATAAGGCGAAGAATATATTTCAGGAACAACTAGAAAGACAGGCGACCATTTAAGCGATTCCCATCCGGAAGCAGGTTGGAATCATATCAAGAAGGCTGTGGAAACAGCAATGGTATCTGCTAGCAAGGTAAACCACAAGGCTAGGATGAAGCAGTGGATTTCAGTAGCATCCACCGAACCGATAGACGCTCGGAAACTCATCCCACCTGACTCTGAACATGATGAAGAGCGAAGTCGGCTGAAGCGCAGGCTGATGAAAAGCCTACGCAACGACCGTACACAAAGGTGGGTGGAGAAAGCAAAAGCGATGGAAAAGGCTGCGGCAATAGGCAACAGTAGACAACTGTTCCGCCTTATCAAGGAAACCGGTATTAGAAATCCACCTGTTAGCGAAACTATCTCAGAAAAGGATGGTCTCATTATTCATTCTCAATCCAGGAGATTGGATCGATGGACAGAACACTTCAGAGATCAGTTCAACTGGCCTTCAGCCATACTTCGGTTGTCCACGATCTCCAGCCATCCTGAATGGCGAATCGATATAAGTCTTCCGAGTCTTTATGAATTGGATAAAGCTATAGGGAATCTGAAGCGAGGTAGAGCAGCAGGGCCTGATAGGCTACCTCTTGAGATTTTTAAGGATGGTGGTCCACTTTTAACAGTTAGATTGGCTGAGATCTCAGGCAGAATCTGGGAATTGTGCATAATTCCATCTGACTTGTCTCAGTCGCTGATTGTCCCAATTTACAAGAAAGGACAAAAGTCGTTGTGACAATCACAGAGGAATCAGTCTAACTACTATAGTTAAACGCATAACTAGAGCTCGCGAAGAGCGGACTACAGAAAACCAGGCTGGTTTCAGATTCGGACGTGGCTGTATAGACCAGATTTTCACACTACGACAGGCACTGGAACACAGACACACATTTAACCGTCCGAACTTAAGGCGGCATTCGACTATGTCGATCATAAGATTTTGTGGCAGTAGCTGTCATTAAAAGATGTGCCAGAGAAGTACATTAACCTTATAAAAACTCTACTCAACACTACCGGTTGAGTTAGAGCTTATGGCGAACTGTCACTGGACTTCTTTACTTCAAGTGATGTCCGTCAGGGATGTCCACTTTCCCCATTCTTGTTTAATTTTTTCATAAACATGCTCTCAGATATAACATTATCTTCGTCTGAATTTTCAGGAGATCTTTTGCCAGAAGGTTCACTGGTTGACTTAGTCCTACTTGGTGAAGACGCTGTCAAAACGCAGTCTTCTGACTACCCTGAGCAACAATGCAATCATATTCGGGATACGGTTCGCCCCTCGAAACGCGATATGTTCCTTCGAGATTGGGTTGCATCGGTACCTGAACTAGTGATCTGTTTGTGACCAATCTGGTCTCGCGCGCTGTTACCGGTATGAGGGCGGTTGTCACTTCCCGGCTACTCACACTGTGTAAGGCTGTTTCTTGAGGGGCCTAAAAGGGAAGGTAGATTAGTGTTGGTCTTGGATATCTGGGTGCGTGACCGCAGAGCCTTTTTATGAGGTTTTCACTGTATTAGCTCCGCACTTGTTTAAAGGCCCGTACCACCAGAGACGGAAATTCGTGAGGCAAAGTGTGACATTTTTAGGGTCGACCTTTTAGCATCGCTGCAGATGCTGGTTGTCCGAGGGAAGCACATTACTGCTGTCACATCCGTCTGCAGTCAGCATTACGACTTCGCCCTCAGACCCTGAGTAACTGCTTCTAGTCTCGTCGTTCTCCGATCGACCTGCCTGGAACCGTCAGAAACCTATCCTCCAGCCAATATAGCCCAGTTTAGTCATCACGATAGGCATGCCCGACCACCATGTCAAGGTAGCAGCTACGATCGGGGAACTAGTTATAGGCAGTGATGTGGTCGAGCGTGTTGACCGCTTCACTTATCTCTAAAGTCTCATCACTGCTGATGGCATGGTGACTGATGAAATCTCAGCACGGATATAGAGGGCTCGATCGGCTTTTGCCAACCTGCGTCACAGGCGCAGGCGAGATGTCTAACCGCCAACCAAAGGACGAGTGTACTGCGCAGTAGTTCGCTCCGTCCTACTATATGGATGCGAAACGTGACCGGTAAGAGTAGATATTCATAGGTTGCTGGTTTGCAATCATAGGTGTCTTCGAAGCATTGCTTGTGTATCATGGGACAACCGAGTAAGCAATGCTGTTGTTAGGAAACGGGTGTTATGTAAGGATGGCAGATAAATAGATGAAGTATTGGAACTTCATCAGTTGAGGTGGTTGGGACATGTGTTACGAATACTCAACCACGGGCCGCCTCGACGAGCTATGTTCTGTGGTGTAGGAGTGTGTTAGAAGGAAGCTATGGGCGGCCGGACCAAAACATGTTACAAATTCTTGAAGTCATTTCTAACTGGTCTGAGTCATGTTGGTAGGTGTAGACTATCTGGTTGGGGTCAGCAAGATGATAGTAACCGATGGTTAGAAACCTTGAATGACATGGGTCGGAACCGTTTGCAATAGCACAGGTGCATCCGCTCTTCGTGTTCTCCCAAATTCTAATTTGAATTCCTTAAGGCTGGCATCTTTCTCTTCTTAAGTTTATTTCGCTAGATTATACTCCCTGAATAACATCTTCAAACCCTAATTTATCCGATTACTGAAATGGTGTTGGAATGGCATCACAGCTTCCGAGTTTAATATCAGTCTATCTGGCTAAGTTTTTCTATTCAGACTTTCTTTTTGTGATAATCACAGAAAAAGCAACTTTCAAGACCTTAACTTTCCTAATCCTCTAATGTCTAAAACTCGATCCCACCTATTGTCATATTACTTAATTTGAAGGTAATGTTACTTTGCTGGAGGAGAGGTCGTATGGGAAGTATTTATCAGCAGGTGTACAGAAAGTGCATCTTAATTTTGTTTTCGCACTTAGATACATGATTACTTTTACTATTTAAAGTAAATGGAATCAGCTGCCCATTTGCCTTCTGACCATCTAAATTTCTATTCATTTCAATTTCTTAACGATTACAGATGTCTGAAGATGCTGTTGGAAATTTAAAGACAACGGTTGTAAAGCCTATAGTTTATGGAAATGTTTCACGTTATCTAGGCAAAAAGCGTGAAGAAGATGGACGAACCCATCAATGGACTGCGTTTCTCCGACCGTACAATACAAGCGAAGACTTGTCAACATTTATCAGAAAAGTTCAGTTTAAATTGCATGAAAGTTATTCAAATCCCATACGCATTGTTAACAAACCACCGTTTGAGCTTACGGAAACTGGCTGGGGAGAGTTCGACATTACGATGAAAGTTATGTTCACTGATCCCAATGAGAAGCCTTTGATAATAACTCATCTCATTAAGTTGTTTCATTGTGACCATGAAATAATGATGGGTCATAAAAGCCTAGTCAGGGAGATCTATGACGAAATGGTTTTTGTTGATCCTTCTCCATCCTTTTATCGGGCATTGATGAGCAGATCTCAAATTCCTCCAAACGTACCAACAATCGCACACGAAACTGATTTTAAAGAAACAAAGCGCCAAGCCTTATGTTCTATACAAGAACTAAATAAAAAAGTTACTGAGGCGATTGAAGTCTATAAAAAGCAGCTTATTTCAAGGAAAGGAATTATTGAAGAAGTTAAGTCCATCGTGAACGAGGTAGATTCTGCGACCGTTGGGACTATCTTTCAGTAAATGTTAATACGTAGATATGTACATATGATTTTTTATTGATAGCTAACATAATGCCCTTTCAAGATACAAAATACATTTTGAAATGGCATTCCAAATAATTTCCATGTTGTAACTTACATCTTTTATATATTTCAGGGACCCATAAAATACTCAGTATAAAACGTTGAGCCGAGGAAACATTATGAACCTATTCGCTAACTTGTTTATTAAGTGACCTAGTTACATTCTAAGAATATTTTAAAGTGCGATACGGTCTAATAAATGCGTTCAGTAGCTATTTTATTACACGCGAAGTTTGCGGAAAAATGTAGACAGCGGCTTTCATATAGCGAATCATTACTTACTGTGAGGGTTAACAACAAAATTAAAGATGCTGATTATTCATTTGAATTGAACTGGCCGTTATGATTTCGGTTAACCTACCGCAGATGTATTTAAAACGAAATTAACCTTTCTGCTTTGTGGCCACAACGCACAGGCCTTACATAATATAGTTATAAGAAAACTAAAATCCTTCAACAGTTTATGCTAATATTTATTCTAATACTATTGATGGCTATGTCTGAATGCACATCTGAGTGTCATAATCCGACGATCAGGAGCAGGTAAAATATAGATAAAAATTCCTGATTTTCAAAGCACTTGTTCAGACATGCAGCACAGTTAGCTTTATCTACCTACGCGTTGCTTCAGAGCTTTCTTTAGAAAATACCATGTTCCATTTCTTTACATACTTTATTCAATTAGTTGAACTCTTAAAATTAGGTTAAGGGCCATTAATTCATAAGTCACAAGTAATAAAAGCCAATAATGCCTATTCATGTAATATCCATTTTTCTACAATATTTCAAATTTCATGTAGATCGTAATAACAAGCGACAGGTTATTTTTGTAGTTAACAAGTTCTAGACGTACGTATTTAGCCGAAATGAAAGTGGCCTCACAATATGAGTTCAGTAAGCTGTAAACTAACTCAATATGTTGGAAATCATGAGGATGTTGTGTTCATCAACTCGAAAAATTCCATAAATCCCTACAATTGTCAGGTTGTGTTTTCTATTATTTAACACTAGTTAAGTTGAGGAATGTATGGTTCTGTTGAAACGATACTTCATAGTTTTGAACAACATATTCCGGATAATGGAACTTAAGGGATAGAACTTATCCATAAATAAGGTGGATTCGCGTGTTAGAGATATGCAGGCAATGGTCTTTCCCTGTTGCCCAACTCATAAAAGAGTATTCCTTCGCAAGAGACGTGAGATGAGAACTGGGTTAATGGTTGAAGTGACCTTAGGGTGTGACTGCCGAACTCAAGAGACAGCTGCTTAGAGGCAGTTACATATGACATGTTTGTGGGAAGTGCATGAATAGCTCTATACTCTAAAACGCCTGGCCACCAGAAACCATAAAGCAAAGTGAGGTGTGAAGACTTCGTGGTCGACCTTCTACAGCTGTTTGCGTTGTGATAAGACAGCATAACTACGGGTACTGGCTGGCTGGGTGGAATAAATTAATGCTGTCATCATTCTGTACAATTACCAGCATAACTTCACGCTCGGACTTTAAGTTTCTGTTTTTAGTCTTCCTAACCGACCTAAATGGTGTGGAAGAATATAGAGGAACAAATTTTCCAGTCACTATGGCTCGATCGAGTCATTACGATATGTAAGCTTAATCACCACATTAAGGTAGCAGCTTCAGGGGAATTTAAGCAAGTTACTGAATTAGGGATTCACCATCTAGACAATAAATGGAGATTCAGCATATTGCAAAGGTTAATACGGATAAGCGCCTATCAACTGAATACTTATTATTAATCTGATCATGGATACAGAGGAACTCTAACGAACACACAAAGACATAATTGAAGTGACTTTAAACTACGATAATTATTAGCATTAAATATCCTTTTAGCGGACGACTAGCAAAACCAAGACATGATATTGCATCAACAACTACACTGAAATAATTCTACAGGATATTCATTGTATTAACATTGGCAACTATTTGTCCTCTAATAACCCATACTTTAAATCGGTAAAAAGTGGGGTATAACTGTAACTACTTATGTAAGTAGTATGTGCAGATGTAGTTATATGTTTGATGAAGCAAGCTGTTTGGATCAGAATAATAATGACTTTATACAAAGAGCAGAAATTCAATTTCACTAGAGTCGTCAATCGCCTGTTACAACAAAAAACTGGCCAAGAAATGTTTTTATGAGATTGAATGTTAGCCTATTACAAAAAATACAGTCAAAACAGTGGGTCAGTCAGCAACAACGCAGAACCTTGTACGTATGTCACTGAGACCAACGCTAATCCTATTTCATTTTCAGGTTCCTCAAGAAGCACACTTCCCGGTCTGGGTGGGAAGTGACATCCGCACCCATACTTTGACAACACACCAGACAAAATTAGTCACAATCATTCTTATAGCCATTTATGTACCGACTCATCATTTTGGTGGAGTATTAATGTCAGAGTAGAGCCGAAATCATATTTAGAGTGTGGTCACATGCTTACAGTCATATGGTAAAGAGATTATTATGAGTAGTCTTTAATCACCATCAGTGACAATTGTCTGTAGTGATTTCTTTTTTATCATGCAAAATGACTACTGTTTGTTCAGGTAGTCAAACAGAGCTTTATTGTAAAAATAATGTTATATACGTCACTGCAGTAATGCTAAATTTCTTAGCTTCGTCGTTTAGGAGAAATAAAAGCGGAATACTTAATTGTAGCAATCAATTTTCATTTAGATGCAATCCGAAGACAGACAATGCGAAGAGGATTAGGAGAAAAACTCTATCAGTTTAAGTTCTCAACCTTAAAAAAACGAAGTAGGACTAACAAGGCACCTTATGAAGTACTAAATATTACAAAGTGATAATCTAGTATCACTGTTGTTGGAGTGATGGTAACTTCGAGTTGTGGACCAATAAAGACTTAAAGTTGACCCATGTTTTTGGTGCTAAGCGTAGCTCTGATTGATGCTTTGTGTTTGTCAACTGATATTGATATAAAGTTAAGGAATCCAACATGATCTTGAAGTTTCCGAAATACTTTACCAGTTCTGTCCTGCGTCACCTAATAGGGCTTGCGCAACCACTACGTGCACCACACAATCTAAGATGTTATGTTTGGAAAAATGTGATTCTGCGGAAAGCAAGCTAATGAACTTCACTGGGTCATCTTTCTTTAAACAACAAGGTCTTATTGTTTTGTTATACAAGTTTCCTTTAAACTGAAATACCAGTTATAAAAACAAGTGATTATGTAGTGTATAGGATTTCTCGTTTTATAGTACTTCACTGTCCTGTAAACTTTATTGAGTATGTAGTAGTTCTGATAAGTGTTACTAGGACAGGGTCATTATATCTACGAAGAAATTTAATAGCTTAGTTGAGGTAAGTCATTCGCTCAATTAATCAGTCAACAACAACGTAGAACTTCGTACGTACGTACATCAGGTCATGTTACAATACCAAGTAAAAGGTGTTTAACACTTCGTAGCTTCTAGTAGTTTAAACACCGTTGGGAAGTGATCCGATGGTGGTTTTAAAAACGGTTGATATTAAGTATGGAAACCTTTTCAAAGACATTCCCGGAGTCCCGACCGAAGCTGCTACCTTGACGTGGTGGTCGGGCTTGCCTATCGTGATGACCCAACCGAGCTATACTGGCTGGAACACATGTTCCTGCAGGTCCTACCATGCCAGGCAGGTCGATTGGAGAACGATGAGACTAAAAGCAGCTACCCAAGGTCTGAGGGCGAAGTCGTACTGCTGACTGCAGAGGGGTGTGACAGCAGTAAGGTGTTTCCCTCGGACAACCAGCATCTGCAGCGATGCTGCCTTCTCACAAGGAAGGAAGGGTTAGAAAAGGTCGGCCCTAAAAATGTCACACCTCCCCTACCTCACGGATTTCCGTCTCCTTGGGTAAGGGTGCCCACTGGGCCTTTAAGAACGGAGCTAATCCTCTAAATACCTCTCATAAAAAGGCCGTGCGTGACCGGCCTGAAGCAGTTGTCCCTTGGACTCTGCGGTCACGCACCAACACTAATCCATCTTCCTTTTCAGGTTCGTCAAGAAACAACCTTCCACGGTGTGGGCAGCCGGGAAGTGATAACCGCCCTCATACCCGCAACAGCACACGAGACAAAATTGTTCAAAATCAAATCCTTCCTACATTCCCTAATACCTCTCTTATCTCCACAACTAACTCTTCTCACATTCATTTATTACAGTGCACAGCTAATGCAAACGATGCGAGTTTGCGAAACGTCGTTCCTGGTCTCCTTAAACCCCGTTCCAAACTACATGTTGGAGCATTCAATGTACGGACATTGTGTCGAATAGGGCAACAAT